TTACACTAAAAGCATCAAAGTATGATTGGATTGATCTGTCATCAAGCCACCTACTACTATCCCATACTAGATCCTTAGATTGAAGCAGGTCATTTTTCATATTGAGGATTAGAGAATTTAATTCATTAATTTTTGTTGTAGAGGCGCTTAATTTATTACTTAAATTAGTGCATTCACTTTCTTTACCATTTAGAAGGTCAATTATTACCTTCTTTTCACTGACAAGATTTTTTACAGTAGTTTGTAATTCAGTAATCTGCTGTTGCAGTGAAAGGTTAGTATTTTCTACCTTGTCTTTTTCACTCTCCAGTTCATCCTGGATGCACAGAGAATTATTAATATCTAAATTACGTCTACATTTTTCTTCAATAAGAAGAGATTCAAGATGGCTTATCTCTTCTTTTAGTTTAATGTTACATTCAGAGAGCTCTTTGTTGCATACAAGATTACTTTCAAGATGTTTTATTAAGTTTACGACATTGTTTACTAAACTACTTATATCAATGTCAGCATAGTTAGCAGATAAGTTTGACAAATCCAAACAGAGATTAGACGCTATTATTTCAGAATTAGAGTCTAGATTTGAAACTTCATACATCATATTCCAAAATTCCCGCATTTTAACAATTTAAAACAACCAATTGCATAAATAAGGAATACACATTTATTCAGGAGTTTAATAAAAAAACATCCAAATAGAAATAACTTGACAAGCTTACAAAAATAACTTCCACTTACAAATATAAGTCGTAATATTTCAGCTATTTCTAATACGATGTTTTTGAACTTGGTATCGTTTGATAGCAGTGACGTAGCTAGAGGGGGTCCTGGGGGTCCGGACCCCCCTTCCGGTCTTAAATATAATATTTATTTTGTTAAATTAAATGTAAAATTATATAATCATACTGTATTGACGTTGGGGTTGATTATTTTCAATGCCAAGAGAGCTAAAAATCCGTTTTAGGGCCTATATAAAAATATAAAAAATCCCGAACCCCCCTTTTACCTAGGGGGTATTGAATCAGTCGACCCACCCTATTTTGAAATCCTAGCTACGCCACTGTTGATAGGAAAATACAAATTCTAAATAATACACCCGCTGCAGCAAACCTGTTGACTAACCAAATTTCTATTTTGCCGGATTGATTTTAAATTAATCTACTAAATTACTTACTTACTTTACTTTCCGTGTAAGGAAATCACCTTATATGAATCCTATCTAAAAAGTGAAAATGTTATTTGTAACAAATGTGAGAAACTACCTACCAGGTTTTCAGACTATACAAGTTTCAAGGTAAGCGTCTCTGATAATCTTTTGTGTAGGACTTATTGAAACCTGAATTTTGGCCCGAGGGAATTTTCGTAAAAGAGTTTGAAGAATGTCGTTCAGGCAGACAAAATAACGTTAAAAGTTACATTCCTTCTCGTACTTTTTAGGGGATCGTCAGAAAAAATGGGACTAAACATGATGCGGGAAAATCACTCCTCTGTAAATTTTTGTGCATCTAGACCTGTTAACCAAAACGGCCATAGAGGCCCAAATAATGTAGGTGTTGGCCTAGGACTTTTTAACTTTTGTATATTGTTGCTTAATGTACAGTGCCTTTTCCACTGCTCGTATTTTAGACCTTGAAAGGACACTTGCTCTCAATGATTATAAACTGCTTTGTCTCTCAGAACATTGGCAGTCCGATGAACTTATAAATTGTACAAACATAAGTGGCTTCTGCCTTATTTCAGCCTGCAGAACTTCTCTGAAACACGGTGGGGTTGTTCTTTTTAGGACACCTAATATAATGAACTCAATCACTGTTATTGATGTTAGTGAGTTTTGCGTTGACATGCATCATGAATATGTTTGCGTTCATTTGCATAGTTGCAGAATTATTTTCATTGGCATTTATAGGTCGCCTGACGGTGATCCGGATAGGTTTTTAGATAGCCTTGAAAGGTTTGTCCTCTCTTTAAGTAAGAGAAGATCTGCGAACAGTGTCGTCATAGGTGGCGACTTCAATGTGAACATCTTGGTAAGAAACAGACTTTCCGAAGATTTTGTAAACCTTTTAATAAGGTCCCTTGATCTTTATTGTTCTGTGTGGGAGCCTACTCGGGGCACTTCCTGCCTGGACAATGTAGCCACCGATTTATCTAATGACTGTTTTAAGGCAGAGGTCCTTAGCTAAGCCATTGCAGACCATGAAGCAATTAAGTTTAGCATAAGGGATAAGCAGGCAGATGGGAACGTCTCGAAGCATGGTACTATATCTAAGTTGTATAGGCCCTTTCCTGTAAGTAAAATACATAGCTTTTTGGGTGATCTTTTTAACATAGACTGGTATGTTCTACTTCAAGGTGGTAATGCTAACCAAAAATTTAACCAGTTTTTAAATATTTTTCTAATGTTGGTTAATGAGTGGCTTCCCAAAAAAACCCTCCGGCCCCGAAAGAATCTAAAAAACTCCATCCAGCCCTATACAGACAATCCCACTTTACTAACCTTAAGAAAGTGGAAACTTTTAACCTATGATATGTACAAGGTATCCAAAACTCCTGAAGTTAAAGCAAGATATCTGCGAGTCAAAAATGAATACCAAGAAAGCCTTAAGCTTGCCAGATTTGAGAGTAATGTTAAATTCATTGAATCTGCACAAAATCCTTCTGCAGCTTGGACTATTATAAAGAGAGAAGTGGTCCCAACAAAGCCTTTACAGTCGACCAGCCTAACACCCAGTGAGTTCAACGATTTTTTGTGAACTCGGTCCAACAGACCCGTGACGCTATTGGAATCCCCCCTACCTCTGGCCTAGAACTACTGGGAAAACATCATCCACCTACTAGTACCTTTCAAATGTCCCCAGTTTCATGTGATAAAGTCATATCTGTAGTGCAAGGGTTAAAGAATTCTTCTAGCAGAGACATATATGATATCTCTACTAGTTTTCTGAAACAGATCATTTTCTCTATAGTTAGCCCATTAACTTACTGTACCAATTGTTGTATTTTAGAAGGTATTTTCCCTGATGTTTTAAAAATTGCTAGGGTTGTGCCTATTCACAAGAAAGGCAATCCCAACCTGCCAGAGAATTTTAGACCAATTTCTATTCTGCCATCTTTCTCTAAGATCCTTGAATTTATTATTAAAGAACAGCTCTCTCTGTATTTTGGTTTCAGGCCTCACCGCAGCACTACTGATGCGGTTGACAAGTTAATAAAAGCAGCTTTTCAGTCTTTTGAGATGGGGGCTTTGCTGGGGCCACTCTTTGTGACCTCAGCAAGGCCTTTGACATGGTGCTTCATGACACCCTCCTGGGAAAGTTAAATTTCTATTGGGTTAAGGGGAAACTTTTTTGAATTGTTTGAATCATACCTGACTGGGCGTGGGCAGCTGGTTTGTATAAATGGCAGACACAATCCAGTGTACAGCCATTGACCCATGGTGTACCTCAGGGCTCAATTCTTGGTCCCTTACTTTTCAATGTCATGCTTAATGATCTCGCTTTGTGTTTGGGGCAAGGTTATCTGATGTTTGGGGTCTGTTACGCAGATGATACTACACTCTTTGAAACTAGTAATGAACTGGGAGATCTTGAGGAAGCCATGAAACGATCTCTTGAGGTGGCATCGGCCTGGTTCCGAGCAAATCACTTGTTTCTAGATGAGACAAAGACTAAGTCAATAATCTTTATTCTAAGAAACTTAGAACATAGTGTGAAATCTGTCAAACTTCTAGGCTTACATCTTGACAATAAAGTAAACTGGAATGACCAGATTAGTCATATGTTTGTGCTAGACTTTCCAGAGCTCTGTGTGTGTCTACTCAGAAGATTGAGATATTTTGTACCAAAGGACTGGCTGAAAACTGCTTATATTGCTTTCTTTCAGAGTATTTTATTGTATGGCCTAAGGCTCTGGGTGCCGCCTCTGGGGTCAAGAGAGTTCTGCGCTATCAAAAGAAAGCAGTTAGAGTAGTAGCTGGTGCTGATTACTTGGATCATTGTAAACCCATATTTGTAGCTGAGAGCTTAATGACGGTTTGTAACCTCTATATTTTTCTTGATCAAAATCAAGAAGGAATGGAATTCTCTTGAGCTGAGAGGCGACATCCATCCCTATAATACACATACACGTAGGAAAAATGATCTCAATTTACCACATGTTAGATTAAGTAAAGTTCAGATGTCGATTGATATTCTTAGTTATAAGTTTTTTTTAAACTTCCTTTTGTAGCTCGGAACCTGCCGGACCCAAAATTCAGAAAAGGTGTTTAGGGGGCTCCTTTTGGCAAACCCTTTGTACAAAAATAAAGAATTTTTTGATCTGAAAGAAGAATATGTAAGTATTTTTTTTTAGTTTTTTAACCGAGTGCTGTGTGCTGTTTTTTTTCTCTGCATGGAGAGTTTCAGGAATGTAATTCTTTATATTGGTAAGAAACCCTGTACTATTTGTCTTATTTTAGTTTTTATTTTAGCTATAGTTGATTGACGTTTTCCAGCAATGTAACTGCATTTTATGGAAATAAAAATTCTTGATTTTTGATTCTTGATGTTATCTTTTGGGACGTCTGTCACAAAACAACATCACTTGCGACGTTGCCAATTCTACCAAGGGTCCATTTCACAATAAACTACAAGCTACAAGTTACAACTTGTAACTTGTAATTTCCATTAGATTTGCATTGGGCGATCAGCTGATTTACTAATAATATTAGTTTGTACTTTATTATGAAATGGGCCCCAGGACGCGGCCTGTAGTTAAAGGTGGCCGTGATCCAAGTTCAGTCAGTCAGTTTTACTTTTACTCAATCTCCACTCCACACTCCACTCCACTCCATTCCTTTTTCTCTAGTTCCTCTTGATTTGATTTTTCATTATCATTCTAATTTCTCGACTCGACTTCTCTTCTCTCTTCCTTCCTTCTCTCATTCTCTCTACTTCAGTACTTCGTCGTTCGTTTTCTTCCTTCTGTGCTGTGTTCTCTTCTCTTCTCAAGTCAAGCTTCTTTCTTCTAAGCCTTACTAACTTTGATCCACTCAAGAGAATTTTTTATTTTAAAGATAGTTGGTTATAGGCTAGAATTTACGGTCGTGGTAGTAGAAAAACCCCACGATATAATTTAGTAAAGGAATCTAATGTCTACTAACGACATAAATATTATTTCTGGTGCCATTAAACTGGATTCGCCGGTAAAGGTAATTGAAGCACCCATCGTTTATTAGGCCTACCTAGGCTACATTTGACTTGCATGTTTCATCAATTCTAATTCAAATTAAACTATCGATTTTCTGCAGCTCATCCATCAGTTTACATCATAGGCCTACCCAAGTAGTTTTGAACTCAGGGTTAGACAGCGAGAGCTAGGCTTACACCACACAGTCATCTCAGCCTAGGCTAAGTTTATAGGTCATGCTTACTTAGGGCCCATTTATTGACGGAAAACTCCATTTCAAACGGGCATACAAAGATGGCAAAATATTGAGTTCAGACTTAATATCCTACATGTTATGCATGAAGATAACTTAAGGCCTACACTACAAATTTGGCAAAGTAAGTTATACGTGTCCGGTAACTGGATGTGGATTAGGCGTCCGGCAGTTACTGTCACAACCTAACCCTAACTAAACAAACTCACTGATGAAAAATTCTGTTCATAAAATAAAATTATTAAGTTAGGTAGGCTATAGGCCTAATGCTTCAAATTCCAACAAATGATGTAGGCCTAGGCCTACAGTTAACTTAAGAAGATATCAAATTTTAAGCAGAATCTTTGACAAAAAGTTAACTTAGTGTCACCGAGGGGATTCGATCTGAATATCTCTTGGATATGAGCCGTTACTCTATCCACTTCACCACGAACACCGATTGGCTGCACTTCACATCGTTCTGGGCCCCAACAACCTGGTGACTTCACTACCTGATGCCTAATCTACGCCCGATTACCAGACGCGTATCCTCTGCGTAAACATTTACCTATCATTATCATAGGCCTACTAAGTTAGGCTACAACCGACAACAATATATGACGTGGAAAGTTAAAAGGGACCTCTTGACGGTGATGCAAAATTTTCAGTACAGCTGATAAAAGTGATTAAGCTCGCAAATAGGCTATAAAAAAAAAATTATCGATTGTTAAGTAATATTTCGTTTAACATAGAACAGGACGGTATCAGTTAACCCTCCGAGCGTCACTTGCCGAAAAGTCGACTCACGACACACTTTGTGTATAGTGTCACTTGTCGATTTTTCGACACACGAACATCGTTTATGGCGAAGGCTCTAGGTATCGTTCTTTTTGTTAGATTCAGAGCTTTCTCCGGAGGTCTGTCTCTAAGCGCTTTTCATTTTAGTTCCGAAAATATTGTAGCAGACAGCTGACGTGCGTATTTGTAAACAGCTTGGTTAACCTCGGACCGATGACTGATGTGTTTTATTACGTTTATCATTGTTTTAGTGTTAAAAATCAAAAGTAGTGATATACGTGGTGCATTATAAGAAGATTTAAGTGATTTTGAAGGGCTGGTTGATGATCCTGAAGAAGTAGGTAGTGATATTGATGTAAATTATCAGCCAGATTCCTAGCTATGGTTAGGCTATGCATTCTTAGCTAAACGCTATGTACTGAAATCTGTTTTTTGCCCATAACTTATTTATTTGCAAATCTACTTCCTTATATTATTATATATTTGTAACCCTCATAAAATTTAGAACAAAGTGGCTATTTTCAAATATTTATAGGCCTATAATTTATACAATTTCATTGAGCGTGAACTTATTTTTTTTTTTTGAAAATTTATCAAAATTTTTTTTTACTAAAATAGAACAGTAGAATTAACATTGTTTTAAGTTTCTCAGATCCGTTTTAATAAAACCTTGCAAATGGGCCAAAAATAGGCGGACATTAAGGCCTAAACTATGGACACTCGGAGGGTTAAAATATCAAATCCAATATTTAAAAGGTCGAAATAAATCATTATGTTAGCCTCTGCACGGTCTGAGATAAAGTACCTTTTGTCACTCAATGTTATTTCACCATAACGACAATAGGTCTCATTTTTAACATTCACTTTTTAAACAGACTTTAGTCCAACAAATTAATTTTCCTGCATTCTAGTGGAATTAAGAACTAAGTTACAACAAAGTTCAGTTGATGAAGGAAAAAATAGGTCTAGCCTATCTCACAAATTTTGCAGTCCCGACAAGAGGCAGGATATTTTTAGTCCCTACCTTTTTTTTATGCTATGGAGAAATGTAGGGCCAACAAGAAGTCCCTTTACTGAAATGTAATTTTTACAACATGCTTCGTTATAATAATTATTTTAATGAAATCTATGCCCTAACGACGAAAATGGCATTGCCTCTAAACAGGACTTAATGAGTTAAGGTTTGTTTTGATTGATATCAAAATTGTTTCTTAAATACAAAAACAATATTTCAAAAACCTATAACTTTAACGAAACAAATTGTAGATGCATGGGACTTTCACTAAGTGATTTGGAATTTAAAAAGAAATTCAAATTTATATAGCCTATACTCAAAGTCAATAATTCCTGACAAGAGTTTTAAGTTGTACATATAAAAATCAATAAGGGAAATAACAAGTTTTGCCATTAGCTAACAATAATAGGTTAGGAAGGTTTTGAGATACATGTTAGGCCTAACTTAGTTGTTACTTGGGATATAGGCCTAGGCTAGTAGGCCTTCAATTTAACTTAATTAATTTAAATCTAAAGTAATCATTTCCATAACTCAAACTTAGAGAGCTACACCACAGTCATCTCAGGCTAGGTCTGGAATAAATGTCTATTTGCTTTATACATGGAAAACATGCATTACAATTGTCAATGAATAGGTAAAATAACTTAAAAGTTATATTTGTATTTGTCAAACCTTGCAAAAATACAGATCTGGGCGCAGAAATGTTTAATTTTGTAGGCCTAATAAATTGTTAAGTTTCTTGGGATATAAGTTAGGCCTAGTGAAGGTTAATATAAATTTAAATTATTCAGTTTAATGGGCCTGTATTTCCAAGGTTAGGGCCTATCACGTGTTAGCAATTTGTTAGTTTAGATTGCCTCAAGATTTTCTTTTTGCTAACCTATGATGTGGGCAGCCTCAGGGCTCAGTCCTAGAATTTAGGCCTAGGCCTACTTATCCACATAGGTCTCAGGTACGTACCAAACCAAGGAAGGAGTAATGTGATATATTTCAAGAATATATTAAAGGCTTAAACTACTAATATTTTACTATTTAGGCTACACTGAAATTTAGTTGCACATTCAACTAAATTGCCAACTCACTGCCATTAGTTTCAAAATTTTGCTTATGTACACTTACCTATTTAATTTAAGTCATCCAAGTGATAGTATCACATTCGTGGTACATCTAGGCTATGTCTAGACAGCTGGATAAGCTTAACTTAGGCATAGGCCTAATTTTAAATCACATTTATGGTGCAGTTAAAATGAAATGAAATGAAAAATGTCTTTATTTAAGAGGCGAAGTTAGGACTAGCAAGTCCTCTCTACCACTTAACCTCTAAAACATAAATAAAACTATCCACTTTATAAATAAAATTAAATAATCTAAGTACCATATTATAAACATGTTGAAATTAAATTTAAATCCAAAAAGTCCATTTGAACACAAGCCGCCAACAACCCCCCACACCAGCGCCAGAGACTCATTCATGCCTGCTGCTCAAAATCATAGATTTTATCTCTGCCCCAAACCTTGCACGGTTCTCTATGGATTTTATATGGTCAGGAAGAAAATTCCACATTCAAATTGCAGATACTAAGAAAGATTTATTAAAAACTGTTGACCGGTGAATTGGTGTAGATAAAAGAGGAGAGCCTCTACAAGTGGAACGGGTGCTGGTGTCAGAAATGAAATGGAAGTTATCTGATAAATACTTAGGAATTTTACTGTTAATAATGGAGTGTAGAAGACGAAGGGTGTGAAATTCCCGAAGTTCACTTAGCCTGTTTAATGAAAGCAGGTTAAAATAGGGAGTGACATGGTCATATCGTCCAAAAATGAATCTGATACAGGAATTCTGCGCTCGCTGAAGTCTGCTAGAAACCTCATTAGTCATTGATCACCACATCACAGTAGTTGAAATGAGCCAAGATGAGAGTTTTTACTAACATGATTTTCAAGTTCAGTGGAAGGTATTCTGTGAAACGTTTGATGGTGTGAATAGTGTTAAAATGGTAAAATTGATATGGTTGACCCTTGACTCAATCGTTATTCTCAATCTTTGTTACCTATAGATATGAACATGTTTAGTAGTATTTTATTTAATGTAATTTGACAATGCCTATTCCTTTGTACAACTTGGTCAATGGTAATAAACTTTCATTTCTTAGTAAGTTGCCTTGGAGCAAATCTAGATTACTGAAGAGCTGGGATTTCCTAGCCCCTGTATTGTTTGCACAGCACAATAGACTACTAGGCTACATACAATACTACAATAAGGCTACAATAAGTTAGTGCTGTTTTCTTAGATTTTTTCACTCAGCTTACTAGAGGGAGGGATTGACCAGATAATAAGGTCTCTCTATTCTACATGATCCCCATTTAATAAGTGTTGTATGGAAGCAATTTTGGTCTTTTATTTTTGAAGTATTCACCCTTCAATTGATTTGACGATTGATCGAGAAGTGTGTACAAGCACTGTAGCATTATTTATTGCTTTATGGAAGGTGTCGTTTTAATTATCATACAGTATTATTATCTCTCACTACACCCAACACCTTAATACCGAAGCAGATCTTATATTGCAGATGTTTTCTTTTCTTCTATAAACTTTCTCAGGGTACGTTAGTTGTATTAATATACCTACAAGTATGACAGTAAAAAAACATGAATACCTATCCTTTTTAACTAAAGTTTGAGTTGTAACCCTAATTCAGTACCATGTTGTATAGTTAGCTCAGCCTATAACTATTTCATATGCTATGGTTTAACATGGCAAACCATACTGCTATGGCATCTGCTTACTCCTAGGCATCATGTAGCTACGATACTATTATTTGTGATACAAAAACTATTGTTTCCATTAGGCCTACATGTAAAGGACAGTACGAAAAGTTATTGTTTGAGTTTTCTTCAAAGTAGACAGAGCCCAACAGTCCACAAAAATTACTGTTCAAAATAAATGTTGTCTTTGAGAAATATATACTGTATTAAATTACGATAGTAAATTAGGAACATTTGAATAAAATATGTCTTCTAGCTCTATCTTTAATATCCAGCGATATATTTATAATTAGGTCAAAATCCGTTATGTGCCCACAACTCCAAAACTTGTTAATATGAACATTAGAGTGTACAAAGCGTTTTTCAATGACGAGTACTTTGTTAAGTAGAATGGAATCATTTCCAGGTATTTACGACATGTTGCAAATACGTGGGTGATTTCATGCATTGTTGTCGGTATATCTGTCTGGGAGAGATAACGGTTCGCTGTAGCGTCGCCAACAGCGGCCCGTGGTAATGAATCACTGTTGACTTTGTCGCAACAATGAACTAACGATTACTTTTCTAGTTCAGTTACTCAACAAAAGAACTTTAAGCTGTTCAAGAAGTTTGATTGGGTTTGGTTAGGTTAGAACAGTGTCATCTAACCTAACCAACCAAACTTCTCAAACAGCTTAAGATTTGTATTAGTTATTCTACTATTTTGTGTGTTTTCTCCAAATTTATATAGCCTGTGATCAAAAACCTTTCCTGAATATTGTATTTTTCATTATTTATTACCTATAAAAGGTTTCAATAAGTTATAGAAGTGTTATTGGAAAAATAGAGTTAAGTATGGGCACGTAACAGATTCTGACCTTACAAGTATAAGTTACTGTAAAAATTTAGAAGACGGTAAATGGTATGTATAAAAAGATGGCTACAATGGCGATCAATTTCAATTGAGTTAGCTATAAACGGACAAATGGTCATCATCAGGCCCATATTGGAGGCAGAGAGAATCAAAATGGCACCCTTGATTAAATACTGTTGGTCGCAGGAAGTTTTGGAAACAAACTCCAATAAGTTCCAGCAGAATCAGAGTTAGCTTGTTCACTTATCAATTTGTGCCTATTTTTACACTCTTTATATATAAAGTTCTTCCTAAACATTTCTTTAAATTTCTTCTTTACATATTTTGAGGATTTTACCATATCTTTAACACTTAACCTAAGCCCGAGAATAGCTCGGAGTTTTAGTTCGTTGAATCTCACCTGCGAATGCTAGTGTGCTTATAGCCGCACTTGTCACGTTCTTCCGATGGTGGCATGGTAGCTCAGTTGGCCAAGGCGTTGCACTTACTTTGTGACAGGTTATTGAAATTCATTAGGCCTACCGTTTTAAAATATAAAGTAGCTTAAGTTTATACTAAAAGTATTGATTGCAACATTTGTGATTTTATAGCCCATAAAATACAATATATTCCTACTAACTCCCACCGCTTGCCCATGATAAGGATTGTTTTTGACTAGTTAACTTATTTTTCCAATTATATGCTAATAAATATTGTTGTATTAACTCTTTGCGTTTTTCAATCTTCTCCTGAACACTTCAGTTTCAATTTATTATCTGAGTTAGTTTTTACGTATGTTTTACAGTATTTATTTATTTTGTAAGCCTTTTGACTCATACTTTCTTGCTTTTATTCCTTCCTTGTTTCTCTTATGTCCATGATCCTCTTAATTTGTTATATCCAATTTAAACATATTAATTGAGACGTTTCTTACCTCTTTGCAGGCCAATTTTTTCGAGCAGACATTCAAAGAAAAACATCCTAATGAGCAGAGCAGAAGGCATTGACTTGGTTAAGAGAGAATTTTATAGAAAACAGAGGGTAAGTAACTGGTTCATTAACAATGTTTAAAAATTTTGAGTAACTGAGCAGTTTACCAATGATGTTGTAATGGATTGCACTCTTAGTGACACAGTTGGAACTGATTTTGGTGTGGCTCCCCTGACTACCTACAGGCAGAAACCTCCACTGCTTATTTACCCTCCAGTGTCAAATAAATCACTGTAGTTGTTTCCCTGTAGATATTTAATACATTTATATATTGCTAGTATTATGTCAAACATTTATTATACATTAGCTTAATCAACCCATTGGCCTATGAATATTTAGGTGCCCTGCAGTCACTCAGTTAGCCTATTAAAATGAGCCAAAATGCAGGGTTGTCTTTATAAGTTCATAAAACATTTTATTTTTGAAGTTACAAGGTAGCAAGTTATGTTTATTTACTCTATATAAAATTGCCTTCAATAATGATTATTTTCAAATATAATAAAACTATAAATACAATATTTTTTTCCTATTATATCTTGGTATGAACAAATGTAGCCTATTAGTACCTCGTAAGGTAGCCTATTACCTCGTAAGGTAGCATATTTTCACTGTCGCAAAAATCAATGTCCAGTCCTGATTCTATAGCAAAAAGTCAGATTGTGCCCTTTTTCTATTGTAGATATTTTTTATACCAAAACAACAATTTTGTTTAAAGATGAGAACCAGATTACTTTTATTAGTTGTGGGAGTTGTGTTCATAAGATGTGGGAATATGTATTTTCTGGACGAAGGGATCTTTTGTTTAGTTTTTGTCACTGCATCCAATCCGCAGTGCTGATATATCTTCCCCATGTAGCTGGCTTGGTTCTTTTTGAATTACAGTAAACTATCTGTCAAACAGATTTTTTTGTTGCGAGTACTGTTATTGTTGTTTTTAGGATTTTATTACTGAAACCGATATTCCTGGGGTGTGTGTTAATTTGTAAAAATGTTGTTTATTGGAGAAACTTTTGTTAGATTAGGTTTGATTATACGAGTATTCAGGTAAATTTTTTGGACCGATATCCCTTTCCCCCCAGGTTATTATCCTCCTACAAAACTTCATAATACTTGCTTTTTACACAATTTCACACTATAGGAACTGTGTCTAAGGTTAAGGTATGTGTTGTACATTTTTACTGTGGTTGGGTTAGTTTGCCATTACCCCTCACTACTTAGCAACAGATTGATGGTATAAATCGACTTCTATGTCAGAATCAACACACATGCGTTGAAGGTTTGTGTAACAGTTGCAGTATTACCAAGGCAAGTGCACCCGCATTCCACCCCCTTCCCTATTCCCATGGTCATAGTGTGACGTGTGTGGGTTTTATTAGCCGACTATCTATAAGCCCGGTTTACACGTTACGATAAAACGTAATGATTTGTCTGCAATGACAAAACATTGCATGCAAGACGGAACGTGTAAACTAGAAATCGTTACGCTTTGTCTGAGTTGGATTGAGGATGGAAGGTTTCTGTAGAATGTAGTGACAAGTCGTTGCGTGTAAACGCCTAACGGTGACTCAGTCATTGTTGCATACTGTAGACCCTCACTTGCCGAAATCGCAACGTTTGTTGTGGTCCAGTTTACTGTATTATATGTTGTGTTTACTGTTGATGTTATATTTTAACTGTTGTAGTATAGTTAGTGTTGCTTTACTGTTTTGTGTCATTGTAACATTTATTTGTCACTTAAAATGTCAGACAACCGTCAAGCCTCTTGTGATTTTCCCATAGAATTTATTGAACTGTACAAGAGTTTCCATTGCTTATGGCAAGTAAAAAATAAAGACTATTCCGACAGGAACAAGATAGACCTGGCCTATGTAGAAATGGTCAACGAATATAAAGGAATCAACACGGCTGCAGGCAGGGCAATTGGCGTGGAAAAATTAACTCTTTTAGAACAGTGTACAAAAAGGAAATGGGAAAAATTATAGACCCACTTCTAAAGAAGAAGTATTGCACTTAAGCACTTAAGAAATTATTGGTATTGATAAAAAACGGTAGTTGTTTGAGCCAAAGTTAGTCGTTGAGACAAGTCGTTATGTTTTATTGTAGCATGTAAACCCGCCTATAGGCCAAACCTGTAGTCTGCCACACTTGTCCCACTATATGTTGTTTTGTATGTTGTTGATGTTTATGTTACAAATATCGGAAGTGAAAATGTTTAATAGTGTTTTTTTAAATTTAAATTTCAATTTTAAGAGTGTAGATATCCAGATCGTACCTCAAAAATTGTTACCATTTGATTTTTTAATAGTAATTAAAAATTCATTTAAAGTCAAAGAAAATGTATTTATTTATGTTTTTAATTAGTAAAGGGGGTTAAGCCAATAATTTAAATTGAAATTGGGCCTTAAATACCCGACGCTCTTAAATTTTGTAAGCTTTTAGGGTCTTGTAGTTTAGTAAATTTGTTCAGATAGCTGTTTTAAATTTACGGTAACAAATTTGGAAAAAAAATGTTGTAATGATTCAAATAACAACACAGTTGAATCCCGGACAACCAAAACAAAAGGGGGAGAGCCGTTTCAGATTAAACCAATTTTGTCGTAACCCGTCATATGCTAAAAATAGCCTATGTAGCCTATTAGTTGTGTAGGAAAAATGAATTTTAATAAATATACAGTGTTGACTAACAATTGAAGTGATTGAACCTTATTATATTTTCAGATATTCGCTCTCGAAGGAAAAGGATTTATAAGAAGCTGGGAAGAAAAACAAAGAGAAGGTCTTAATGGGATTGATGGTGCCCTCTTTGTAATTAAAAAGTACAAGTATCGAGGTAAAAGACAACAAAGACGTAAGCAGTCAAATTTTCGTGAAGATCGTCGGCTAGCAATAGCAAACAGTTTCAAAAAGAAATATTTTAAAAGGACCTGGGAAGTAATATACAACTCAGCTAACTCAAACCAGTCAGGGCCCCATCGGCGGGACATTCACAAGGAATCATCAGAGAAAAACAGTGAGATCAAACAGCAGAAAGACTTTGCAGAGTCAACAACTTCAGATGATCATCTAGCAGGGCCTAGTGGAGTAGACACTAGAGCAACAAAACCACGAGGATTAAGCCCTCATGAATCTTACGATTGTGATCCTAACAACAATATTGAAAATTCATCTGAGGACTGTGAAGAGGAGTTAAATGTTGAGGACAATTCAGAGGACGAGGATGATGACATTGAAGACTATTTGGAAGATGATGAAGATACAGAAGAGTATGACGAACAGATCTCATCCAGAGAACCACCACCACCAGTCATACAACGTGAGGAATCCCAAACCCTAGAACCAGAACTTAACTTTGAGCCCTGTGATCAATTAAGTCAACCCCAGTCGGGTGAAATCAGTACCGGTAATCAAGTATTTGAAATCGAGAGTGATAGTGTTCCACGATTTTTTCAATCAGAAAACGGATTTCTATTTCTTGAAAGCGAAATAGAAATGATGGAAAACGCAGAAAATTTCTTGAGGATAGAAATTTTCAGCGACCTTGATTTTTAGTGTCTAATTTGTGTGGAGTCCTCGTTTGTTAGTTTAAAAGACTATGTGTTATTTCAGTTTTCTACATTCTTATTGATCTACTTTATGAATTAAATAGACTATACATTATTAATACCTATTGAGTATAAGAGACAAAGTGTTAGTGTTTTTTATATGTTTTTTTGTTAAAAAGGATATGTATGTTAAATATATATAAGTACAGTCGGCGTATATATATGAGACCAAGTGAAATTTTGTATTAACTTGTGATACTTATATAGTAAACTTATATTTTATACAACATATAATCAATTATGGCTTATAAACATCGTCAAATTTCCAAATGCCGCGGATGTACCGGAGGCGTATTGAAAACTTACATATTGAAAAACGTCAATCCAAAAAGTCTTTTATTTCCGTTGTTGGAAGATGAAAATAACAAAGACAAGAGACTTATATGCCGCAGATGCACAGGAAGCATATTTAAAAATGTTAGTTCAAAAAGGCTTCTATTTCCTTCTCTGAAAGATGTCAAAATCAAGGACAAGAGACTTTTATATAGTTCAAGAATCGAACAACCACCTTTTTTCAAATTTGGAAAGCCAAGTTTAGATAATTTTACCAAAGTGAAAATTGCCAGTTCAAAGGTAGATGTGATTGAAAGCTACAATACTTACAGGGGAGATGTAGAAGGTAGCTGTGTTAGGGAAGTAGGGTCAGTAGTGTTGGCAAGTCAGTTAAGTGATTGTTATTCCCCCCATAAGTACTGGTGCAATAGTAAAGAAAATTCAGAAAAAAAATTAATTGAAAATCTTCAGATAGCTCTTGTTGAGCAGTACAACTCCAACCTACAAGAACAGGAGCGAAAAAAAGATATTGTCAAAAAACATGGTTTATTCAATCGAAAAGGAACTGCCACATGGCTATCGAGATTGGAGGTAAGAACTACTTAACTAACCTAAGGTATAATACTGTTTACTCGATATTTTTTTACAGTATACAGGGTTAGGTAAAAGTATGGATATCACCTTTAACTTTTCATTGGGTTATACTGGGAGAACTTACTCTTCACACCTCTACAAAATTGTAATTTAAAATCTGTATGACAATTTTTTTTGGTATCCAAATGGATAGGGACAGCTCAAAAGTTTTAAATGTAAAGCCCCATAGAATAGTATCTCATTTTAAAAGTCTTCAATAAAGAAGAACATGAGAGAAAGAAAACCCAGTACAAAGTGGCTGTTGTTAAAAAATGTCAAAAAATTTTTTTTAAATGTCACACTGGGTTGGGATATAGACCTCTACTTTTTACTGATACTAGTCATTTTAAGCTGTCCCTTAAATACCCTATTTTGAGGACACGGGCAAAATTTTCATATCGACCACAAAGTATAATTTTGTGCCATGTAGAGGTATGCCGAGTTTAGTTTTCAGCCTAGCCTTATATATATGCAGAGTGGAAAACAAGTTTCGAGACCGTTAAATTAAAAAAAAGTAAATATAGAGCTTCAAAACTTGATGCACAGCCAATGGGCAGTATCATTTAAACACATAATTCAGTGATGCACTACCTCTTCAGGGGAACCTCTTCTCGCTATGAGTCTCAAGAAAATCTTAAATATAAGCAGAGGTTAATTGCGGATCAAATTAAAGGGTCTTAGTAAGTAAAATAAAATGCCGCAGACCCGAACTCAACTGAGTCGGGACAACAGACAACTGAGTCCAAAATGACAGCTATTCAAAGATACATTGAATCTAAAAAAGTGTTAAAGTGATTTTAATGCCCAGTAACGTAAAGAGTTTTGAAGCTCTATTTCTTTTTTAAATCATTGACTGTCCCGGGACTTTTTACAACCCTGTACCCACCCCTACCCCAACCCCCAACCCTGTGTGTGTGTATAATGCATTATGTAATGAACCATTTTATTTTTTTTAATAAGCCAACAATGCAATAAAAGATAGTTGCATAATATTAAATCAACACTTTTGATCAAATTGCTCATGATTTAATGAGCCTAATTATTCACGGAACTTCTAATGTAAACTATCATCCAAACAGAGCAACTGATGCTGCATCGCATTTGTAAACCAAGGGAAAGTCAAGTTCCTCATATACTGTCTCTTATAATTATATTTGATTTGTCCCAGTTTGAATCCGTAGTTTAAGCTCAGTATTTAATTTTCTTTGACCATAGTAAGTTTGTATTTATAAACAGTATTTGTCTAAAGCTGTCTTTAAGTGGCTTTTATTATTTTTCCTCTGTGCCTATTAGTTTTTTTATACTAATACTATTGTCAAACTGTGTCCTAGACAAACCTTAATCTCTTTACCTTTTTAAGACAGTGGCTTCAAAGCTACTTTAGAGGGTCATTTTGACTACCACTAGTATTTTACAAAAAAAAATAATTTTGCTGTCCAAATGTGTGAATAGATTTTATTTTATTTTGCAGACATCAATCGGCAAAATTCAAACAAAAAGAATAATTCGGTTGAGTCCATTAACATCATTTGAAGAATTGGAATCATTGACAACATCTTTTGAATTGATTAATGAAAAAAGAGCCGAAGTAAATAAACTAACCTTCTACCGCACCCAAAGAGGTATATCTCATAAATGGGATTTGACAATCTTTGAAGATCAAAAAATTAAAAGACAACAAAATGGAGAAATATTTGATGTTAGAAACATAGCCTTGCCTGTATCAGTGAAACGAAAAAAACCAGAAATAGATATTTTTCATCTCCCAAGGTAAGTCAGTACTATATAATGTGTTGGAAAGTTTTATGAAACTCCAGATATTTTAGACCCATTTAATTAAATTGGAGGATATAATTTAAAAATGTTAAAACCCAGCTTATTCTATTGAGTATTTACTAATTATTTTATACCTGAATTTATTTCTTGTGTCTATCAAGACATTTTGATTGGAACAATAAACTAAAAACACATTTAGGATCTGTTTTAAAATTACAGTTAATTTAGTTTTGCTGGTTGCTTCAGAAATCAAATATTTAAAGATATCTCTTTAAGTTAGGAGTATAATGAAAATGACAGTGTGATAAATTAGATTAGCAATAAAATCCGGAAATTTACCCCCTGCCCATATAACTAGGGTTGTAGAAAGCTATAGATGTAGCCTACAGCCCAAAATTTTACTCCGAGAATTTTACCCCCAAAATTTTACTCCCAAAATTTTGCCCCCAATATTTTACTATCATCAAATAGAGAATTTTGTGAGAATTAATTTTGAGCATAAGATGCTCTTTTTTTAGAGAAAGCCCTTTAAACAGCTAACAACAAGTTACTGCAACTTATATTCATGTTAAACCATCATCTTTTTTTCATCAGATCCACCTACTGTCTCAACTATAAAATCCAAAATGATAAAAAACAAACAAAAATAATTTTGCTTCCAGCTGATCCATAACATTTTATTAAGTTATATTCAATCACTTGTAAAAATGTTGAAATAACGTGATAAATGAAGACTTAACTTAAAACTTACATGATTATTTAGGATACGGTAACTAGAATCATATGTCACAAGATTAACAATACCAGTAAGTAGGCCTACAGTTTTGAGATGTTATGTTCCATTTTCAAATTCAAGTCATTGATTATGAAAATACAAAGTAAGCCTCTATGACCGTTCTTGCATGTTTTTTGATTAGTCCCTAGAATACCTTATTAGATTATTCATCAATTAAGGCTGCTTAATACTGAAATGTTTATTATTCAATCAAAACTGAATGAAGTTGAACTCCTATCCCAGACATAATAACATGAATTTGTGACAAATCTATATTATAGGCCTACATTAATAAAAATGAGGTGGTGTCTGTCTGTACCCTTCATATCCAACCATGACAGGCCTGGGCCATGGTCGGTTATCTTCTTGCGCGACCGATACAACGCCTGTGAGCATAACTTGCAGTCTCCGCGACTTAGGTAATCGCCTTACGCGACCGGGACAACACCCGTGAGTGTAACGTGCAGTTTCCACGACTTCGGTAATTGTCTTTCGCAACGGCGGCAATACCCATCAGCGTTACTTGCAGCCTACGCTACTTAGGTAATTGTCTCTAGCAACGGCAGCAACACCCGTGAGCTACTCCTCGACTACTGAGCTATTACTCCTCAGTAGCTAGCAGTCTCCACGACTTCAGTAATAGTCTCCCACCTGTTATCGGCAACAGTGATGATCGACTGCCACGATTACGGCAACATCCGTGATCGGCCTTTCGGTTAATCGATTCACCCGGCGTTACCGCCCCAGACAGGAAACAAGTAGACAGTCGGCTACTAGGTCGGATATGAAGGGTTCTACTGTACTGAAAATTTGATTAGGCCTACCCAAAGTTTCTTGTTCACAAGCCTCAATAACTCTAAGTTTTCATGATGTGCCTAAATTACTGGAAGTTTTGAGCTGCTCTGTGTAAGTCAGCTGTTATTTTTTTTATTATTGTTGAAGTGTGAAATTCATCTTCTTTGTTTGTTTAGCTGGCTCTGTTAGTTATTGAGATTATTTTGTTAACATCGGACATCATGTTACTTACTGTAAATGTGTACTGTGTGAATGTAAAAATTGTGATTTTGGCAGTTAATGACAGTAAAAGAATATTTTTTAAATTGTTTGGGAATGTGGAGTTCTGCAATTTTGGAAACCAGCAAAAGTATGATGCTGAAGGTTAACTGTTGCACCCTGTTTACAGATATGTCAGAAAGTTCTTTATCATGTTTAACTCAAACTACTGTGTCTATGCTAAAATCTTAGTTGTTTTGCATTTTATAAGGTGTTTGAAACAAAGAAGCTCGAGTTACAAAGGGTTGACATGTTAAAGATAGCTATGACGGTTGTGACTTATTATTATTGTGAGAATTCAACACCTCAGTATCTTGAATTTTCAATATACACATTGATAACTCAAACCTCGCTTACTAGAAAACTTGATAATTAAAATTTTTACAGGTGAGGTCATTCTTGTAATGTTAACATACTGCGGGTTTATTGCTAACTCTCTTTGTTGTTTTCAAATGATTTAATTGGAATGAAACTGTTTTCAGATTTAAAGATTTATCCCCAAAAGAATCAGAACTCTGCTGTAAAATCGGCCTGGAACCAGCCTTCTATCTGGATGTTAAAGATTTTTTAATATCAGATTGTAAAAAGAATGAAGGACTTTTGTTAAAAAGAGCTAGAAAATTAATCAAAATAGATGTCAACAAGACAAGGAAAATCTTTGATTTTCTTTTGGAAGAAGGCTTTATTTGGCTTCCAGGTGCAGGTGAGTAATATTCTTGCAAAGAATTGTAATAATTATTCTGTCATAATTGTATCTTAACTCATAAATAGTGATTAATCAATCGCCTGACTATACATTCGAACTTGTCAATGTGCACATACATTTTGCGTATTTTTTCTTGTAAGCCGAAACAAGGCTCTTCACCACTTACTGGCATAATTTCTGAACAGAATTACACCATTTGCTCTGAAGTTGACATGAACGCTTTTTAAACTAAGGTCAGTGAACTAAGCTCTGAGCCTTCAATTAAATTAAAATAATTGATCAGTCAAAACCGTGACAACTTCGTATCGACCCCTGGAGTGTTCTCGGCTCCTTCTGAGCTCTTCGGGGAAGAAATTTGAGTGTGGCAGGTTCTAGAGGTAGACCTAGCCTGGCTTTGCGAATACAAGTTTATTCCCCCCCTAGAATTTTATGTCACATGAAAAAAATTTTTAAACAAAAAGAGCTACACAGATCATGTCAGCTACAGAGCTGCAAATGGTGTCATCTTGTTCACAAATGATGCCAGTAAGTGGCTAAGAGCCTCACAAACTCCAATTACGGATTCATGATAGGCATAAACACAGCCCTCGTATTTTAAAACTATGTCATGCATTGACTGTCTTTTTTTTAGAGCTTCTCATTCATGATATCCAATTACAAAGTAATTTTTGTTGCGATTATTGGGTAGTTACAAAACCCCATTGGTTTGTTGATACAATTTAACAGATTTCCTGTCCACACGGACAGTCTTATTGGTCAAACCTGGTGTTATTACTCTAAACTCTCAATAGGTTTGTTGTTGTATACTGGCCTTTCAGATGTTTTTCGGCGTCATATTATATATGCTGAAATTATATTTCTTTGAAAATAAATGGAACTGATAAATTCTGTGTATTGTAGCCTACTCATAAGCAAGTGCTCACAACTTTCCTTCGTCTGAAAAAAATTACTACTATTACTATAAACTACATAATTTATATTTCTCAGTAATGTGACAATATCTAGATGGACTAGTAATATATATGGTTTCAACTATTTTTTGAAAGCCAAACTAATGTAAATCAATTTTAACTTATTTATTATACCTATCTTAAATTAAGTTCTGAGAAAAGGTCATCATAAATCCAACAGTTGTGTGTTCATTCCCTGTTAATTGACTTAAGGGCAGTTCACAAGCTCAAGTTTAAGTCTTAATTCCAAATGTGAGTCTAAAATACTAATAGGCCTAACTGAAATTTACCCTGCAGCTTATAAAATCTTCTTCACAATCCTCAGTTTACAAAAGTCTCAAAGTGAACTAATAAACTCCTCTCAATTGTGTAATCCCTCGCTTCAAAATTTCTTTTCACGAGTCCAAATACATACATATATACAGTATAAACACGCTTTTAAAAGATAAACTCTGTGTGGGCTCACGAGAAAAATTTGAGCGTAATTCCGGTTAATCTTGGGCGCAGGAACAATGGTTAGACCTGCTAGGAGACAGGTTTAAGTTGATATCATGTCAGGGTTATCTCATTAGCTTATAATTTTTTCATAAAAAATGTCTAAAATTTAATTTACCCTCAAAGCCTTAGTCAAAAAATAAATAAAAACTTAAAAAATTGTGTTTTGTTGAAAAATTAAAAATTGTGGCTTGGAATAACTTAGTTATTATTTAATATTTTCTGCTCTTACACATACAGAGTGTAAATTAAGTCTTGAAACAAATTTGTATTTTTTAAACCGGAATAGAAAGAAATATTCTGTTTGTGACTTTGATTGTTAACAAAGGTTCCGTAATTTTTTATTTCAAACAAATTTTTTAACAGGGTAGGGGGTGACTATTTTTTTCCAAATAGAAACCCCTATTGAGTGACCCCTCATTTTGAAGGATTTGTCAAAATAAACACAATGACGCAAACCCGAGGTGGATATCTCACCTCTAACCAAAATGGTAGGTTTTCCAAAATTTGATTTACTGTATGTAAAAATCACCAATTTCACAAATATGGAAACAAATCTGTATTTTTCAAACTCAGGGTTGCCACCATAGTGGGATGATAAAATTCATGCAGAATTCATGGTTTTCATTGGTTAGTTTAAAAAAATTCATAGTCGACGCGCTTATACAATTTCAACACAATTGAGTTTTGCAGATTTCATAAACTGACGTTAAAGAAGCAGTTTCTTTGTGTGTTACTTTTGAATAACCTTTCATACCTGATATACGGCTTTTTTAGAGTGATTTATAAACATTCAAAACAATCTAATTCAGTCTTTCCACCGAAATAAAACTAAAATCCCACTCACCCAGCCAAAAAAGTCCTGTTTCATCCCCTACATAATTGTCATAAAATGTACATTCTGGTTTATCTTATTCCACAACATACTAAGATATGATGATTTTATCCAAAAAGCTAAAAAGAAAATAAGGCGTCAGAGTCGGAAATTCGGGTTTATTGCGCACCCCGTTTCAATTCAGTGCATGGTCTAAAACTTCTGTTTTTGTGATTTAAGTCCCCATACCCCTTTTTCAAACACGGGGGTAGGCCTGCAAATGATTTTTCGGACCATATACAGTCCTCGGGAAGTCTCAGCTGACATCAGAATCTTTGAATGACTTGGAATGAACTAAGCAATTGTTTCTGATCGTGGAACATGTTAAATAATCTTCTCCACACAGTATTTTCATGGCGTTCGTTTCTATGGATTGTTTTCAAATATGAAATATTTTTTATTTGGAAAATTAAATGGTTCTGGTTGAATAATTGTTCCTGATTTTGAAAATTCATGGTCCATTTTAGAAATCCATGCATAATCCATGCCTTTTTTCATGGTCACAAGAATTCATGCATAATTCAAGCTTTTCAAGGTTTTCATGGCTGGTGGCAACCCTGAAACTGAAATAAATAGAAATATTCTGTTTGTGAAATTGATTGTTGACATAGGTTCCACAATTTTTTACACCAACAATATTTTTTTAACCCCTTTAACAGGGCAGGGGGTGGGGGTGATTTTTTTTTATAACAACCCCTATTGAGTGACCCCTCATTTTGAAGGGTTTGTTTAAAAGAAATACAATGACGCAAACCCTAGGTAGATATTTCATCCCTAGCCTAAATGGTGGGTATTCAAAAATTTGATATGTGAAAAAGCACCCATTTTGGAATAGCCGCCATATTGGCTAGGGGTGAGATATTCACCTCGGGTTTGTGTCACTGTGTTTCTTTTGAAAAACCCTTCAAAATGAGGGGTTGCTATTTGAAAAAAAAACAAGTCACCCCCTACCCTGTTAGGGGGGTTAAACAATTTTTTTGTGTAAAAAATTGCGGAACCTTTGTTAAAAATTAATGCTACAAACAGAATATTTATATCTATTTCGATTTTAAAAATACAGATTTGTTTCAAGACTTAATCTACACACTGTATTAGTCAATTCATGGGATCTTGGTTGGGAAGTAGGCCTATTTACAGTAAATCAACTTCAAAGAACATACTTTCTTTTGTTAACTGTAATTGTTTATACTAACTAAAAATATGTTATCTTATGTTTCAGGCCATGGGGCTTATTGATGTTTTGGGCTAACCAATTACTACATAATACCTGAAGACTGGCAATTTTGTGATATTTACATAGTCATAAGTCTGTTTTGATCTGTGTAAATTGGGTCAAAAATTTCCAAGCTGTGATTTTTATATATTTTTTTTTGCTCAATTTTGTTATTAAGATGTGTGTGTTTGTTGTTCCATTATTGTAATATATCATAGTTTATGCATACAACTCATTTGACATCCATCCATTCTTAGAGATACTTCCTCTAACTATTCAGTAATCTAACCATTGCCCAAAGGGGAATAAATAATAGCTTTTTTGTCATGGTTGGATAAACAATTCAAAATTCGAACCACATTTTTATGGTTAACTGTAAACTACAGAAGTAAATTGATGTTTTAAAATCATTTACCATTGATGTTTGATTAACAAGGGCAGTTTTGCCCGTGGTAGATCGCCAAACAACGTAAAATAAATAAGAGTTTGGGATGGTTGGAACGTATTTGGGATTTCTTATCATCATTTTACATTTTATATATCTAACTATTAGTTTTATATGCATAAACTATACATAAGTTATATTAAAATCTTATATACCGTATCGTATATATATTTTTATCATTGTATAGTGTTATGAAAGTACTACCTCATGTTTACCTCCAGGCTGTTTACATAATTAGGTGTATTGTTGTATTAAAGACTAGAGTTTTTAGTTAGGTACCTAATAGCCCTTTTATGTGTAAAAGAAACATCATTTTTAAGCAACTACTCTCAATTGATCAACTACAACTTTTAGACAATAATAGAATCAAGAATCAAGAATCAAGATCTTTATTGTCATTGACCTTTTACAAGGAATAGACATAGTCAACAATAAATAAAAACTAAAGCTATAAAATACAGTGGGTTCTAAATTAAAAATTAATATTAACATCAGAAACTAAGTACTCTGTTATACAGTAAAATGGATTTTGGATGAGCCACTCAAACATTTTAGACTTAAACCTATTAAAAGGAACCTGTTTTGCTGTCAGACCTAATTTATTAAAAAACCGTATGCAATTTATTTTATGGCAGTTATCTGTTTTGGCCAATCTATGTGCAGGGATATCTAGATTGGATTTGCCTCTTGTATTGTAAGAGTGTATACTCTCTCTACAAGTGAATTGATGAAGATTGGCTTTAGTGTAGAGGAGTATGTGAAAAATATACAAATTTACAACGGTCATAATTTTAAGGTCTATAAAAAGAAGTCGACAGCTATCCACAGGGCCAGCCCCACAAATTGTTCGTATGACTTTTTTTTGTAATAAAAGAATTTCATGGGTGTGGGGGGAGTGTCCCCATAGTATAATCCCGTAAGAAATATGAGATTGAAAAAAACCAAAATAAGTAATCCGAAGGTATTCATTACTAACAAAATCTCTGAGTTTCCAAATTAGATAATTTACTCTGGAAATTTGTTTACAAGTTATTTCTATGTGCTCTTGCCAATTTAATTTTGAATCAATTTGGAAGCCTAATAATTTTACAGATTTTAATTCATTGTCAAGTGGGGATAGACTCAAAATAATTTTCTGTGTTTTTTCTTGATTACATGTCAATTTATTTGAAGAAAACCAATTTAGTGCTGATGTTATTGATTCATTAGTAATTAAATCAAGCTCATGGATATCTCTATTTGTTGCAATCAAAGTTGTGTCATCAGCATATACAACAGTGTCTACATCAACATTCCTCGGCAGGTCATTTATCGGGGTTATTTAAGGGTCCCAAAACCGAGCCCTGTGGAACACCTACTTCAACCAATCTTAAGTTAGACTGACTGCCTCCAACAGATACATACTGCTTTCTATTAGTTAAATAGGATTTTAAAATTTTTAAAGTTTCACCTGTAATACCATAAAATTCAAGTTTTTTGAATAAAATATCAAAAGGTACAGAGTCGAAAGCTTTTGTAAGATCAAATAAAGTTAATGAAACAGTTTCTTTATTTTCAAATGCATTTAAAGATTTATTAATTACTTCTAAGACAGCTGCAGTTGTTGATTTACCCTCTCGAAATCCAAACTGTGAATTTGTCAACAAATTGTTATTTTCAAAATATTCATTCATTTGTTTATGCATGAGACATTCAAAAATTTTGGAAAAGATTGGCACTATTGAAATAGGGCGATAATTACTAGGAAGATTTTTATCACCTTTTTTATATACTGGAATAATTTTAGAAATTTTGAGAAGGTCAGAGAAATAACCAATTTTCAAACATTTACTAATACAAAAAGCCAGAGGCTCACTTATAAAATGAATTATTTGTTTGATGCTATAATTTGAAAACCAGTAATGATCCATAGCTTTTGAATTTGAGAAATTAGCTACAACATTGTTAACCTCTTGCCATGATACCTCCCTCCATTGGAAATGTAATTGTCCTATAGGGGGAGTCCCCAGCAACTCATGCGCAGGTGTGTTGGTGAGAGGGATTTCATTTTCCAGCTCATTAACACATTCAATAAAATAGTTATTGAGATTGTCAGCATCCAAAACCTCCGACTTAGTTGATGTAGGAGAATATTCATGCGATATAACTTCCCAAGCAGCCTTGCACCTGTTGGGGGCCTTATCAATATATCTTTCAAAAGCTTGCTTTTTGGCTAATTTTATTTCACGATTGTAGGCCTTTTTACAATCAATATAGGTTCTATAGGCATTTTCCAAATTATTTGATTTATGTTTGAGTAAGCTCTTATAAACAGAAAAACAAAGAAGCATTTTTTCCCTAAGTTTCCTTAACTTTTCATTATACCAATTAAGTTTTCCTTTCTTATGTCTATTGTTTTGTTTGCACTTAACTAATGGGGAACTAAAATGCCACAAAGATACTAATCTCTTAAAAAATTCATCAAATAGTAATTGCTCATTAATTTTACCCATTTTATAGTCCATTATCATTTCCCATTTCTCTTGTACCAATTGATCAACAAAGTGTTTAATATTACTTTCATTTTGCCTTCGTATTATTTGTTTTGTTCCTTCTTTTGAGTTGTTACATTGTTTTATAGTTTTCTGTAAAAAATCTAATATTAAAGGTTCATGGTCTGCAAAACAACCTCCTACTATATTTATGTTATATAAATCTGATGAAAAGTTTACAATTATATTATCTATGCATGATTTTCCTCTTGTAGGTTTTTTATTTGTACAAACTAAATTTAGACTTCGTAACAGATTGGCAAATTCAATAGATGGCTTCTTTTCCATTTTTATCATTTCTATGTTAAAATCACCTGCGTTAAAATTACAATATTATCATATAAGCAATTTTGTTATTTTTATCCACTAAAAAAAGAATAGGCCTATAATGAAATGTTAATTAACTAAGATAACATAATGACAGAACAAGCTAAGAAAATTGTAAAAATACATTTGAAATATAATAGTTACTAAATGAGCATACTGAAGTGGTTTTTAACTAGATATACTGTAAAATTGTTTGTTGTAATATTTTAAAATTGGACTAAAAACTCTTGTCACAGTCTTATGGGTGCTTTGCATCTGATTTACAAGTGTTACTAGAGAGGTAATAAACTGTTTTCTACTTTTATACTTATTTTTTGTATCAATATCCTCCTTCATCTTTTTTTAGATCTGATCCTTATTGTCAGATTGTTGTGGACAAAATCAATTATTTAGTTGCAATACAGGTCATCTTTATTTCTCATAAATATAGATTAGTGTTATAAGGAAAACTCCCAACTGAACAGCGGTTGATTGAATCTCTCCTTTCTTTAATTTACCGCCAGTATTCATCAATATTAGTATTAGCATCAATATTTGAATACTTTCCACATATGATGAGTTTTAAATTGAGTCCTTTAACATACTCTTTCACTTTTAAGATGGTTCACGGCTACTTTAGAAAGTACCTTCCAATGCAGAACGTAAGGTCATCCAGAAGAGGAAGATTATGCTCATTATACTTTCTTTGAGTTCAATGAAGGAGATGAGTTTGCTGACATCTGTGGTGAGGGCGTTAATGCCAGACTCCACTGTGGGTTTCATGCTTAAAGTTGAGGTAAAGAGCGGGCAGTCGCTTTTTATGTCCAAGAGGTCCCTTGTACAAAGCGAGACAAGTGGCGCAATTAGTGGTGACACCGGTGTCCGATTTGTAATCTAACCTTTTATATTGTTCTGTTTATTACTTTGTATACCATTGTCTTTATTAACAGTTAATTCTTTAATTTTTAAGTTATTACCGTTTTTAGTTTGTGTATGCCATAAACAGTGTGTAAAATAAGCCTAGGCACTACAATGGGATTTCTTCTAAACTGCCCTACTCTTTGCCTCTTTTTTCAATTGGAGACAAAGAAGAAGGAGCTCCAAACTGCTCAACACAATGTAGACATCAAGTACACAGTACTAAATTCTGCGTTTTGAGCGAGCTATGACCGGTTGCACCACTAGTTTCCAGGTTCCAAAAAGCTGAAGAACACCAGTGACCAATTGCCCACTGTTAATAGAGGCCTTAGGTTATGTAACCAATCATTCATCTTAGTCAATAAGTAATTTATTGTTCTAGACTGACAATAACTTGCATTACCCAAATCAATACAGTAGACTCCCTCTTATCCGGACACCTTTTAACCAGACATCGGTTTAACTGGACTACACTCGGCAGAAATGACATCTCTTTAACCGGACAATTTTTATCAGCACATCGGTTTAACTGGACTTGATCGGCAGGAAGTGGGCGGTACTGAAACGACCATTCTCGTGGGAAAGATTTGAGACCAGTGATCTTGTGTCTAAATACAATGCTCTCCTAAAATTAAGTAAAATATGTATTTAAACGGTCCGTTTTTATGAGTTTTTGGAGACGTCGGTTTATCTAGATAAACCCGCTCTGGACTGGCCTCGGTCCCGAAAAGTCCGGATAAGAGACGGTCTACTGTACAAGAAAAAAGTAATCAGTGCTGACTATATCAATTGATGTAACCGCGCAACGAGCACTCCTATCGGCCTTCATCAATTGATGTAGTTGCTCAACCCCCACTACATTAGTTTAGTATGAGCTCACAGCTCAGCCATTGCCAGGGAACATTAAAATCATTGCTAGCCTGTAGCTTAGAATGTGAGCTTTATTTTGGTGTTGGTTGGAACTAAAATTTCCCGTAAAATCCAGTCTAACAATGCTTTTTGTCCCGATTTCGGGGATTTTCTCTCTCCAAGCCACAGACTACTCATCCAGGCAGTGCTGATACCTTTGGGTGTTTTAGGGAACTACGTCCAATTTCGGGGTAACGTAGTACAATCACCACTACTCTTTTGTCTTACTATAAATAACTATTTAACTAAATAAACTAAACATGTGCAAATGACATTGTGAATGACCACTAAAGTAAGTATTCACGGACGCTGTAATAAACTTTTTTAGATATTGTTCGGCCTGCAGTCGGTGGAAGACTAAATAGTTCTACGGAATTGCAATGAACCAATCAGTAAATTTGACAATCAAAATACAGTAAACCTTTGATAGCTCAGCATGGGCTGAACTATTTTGTCAAGTGATATTTAATAATGGTTACTATTGAGATGTAAGCTGACTTGAATATAAATCTGTCATTTATTTATTAATTTATTCATTTTATAATTTATTTCAGATATATAATCGTGTTCCCGCAAACCTTATATAAATCTTACTGCGGTGTTATGAAGCTTTTGAATTCTTTCCATGCCCTCATTTGTGATGCTGTTGCCATATGCGGGAAAACAGTAGTAGAGCACTGACAAGATAATTGATTGAATCAGCTGAATCTTAGCTGTCTCAGGTAGGATGGTTCGGTATTTGTACAGACCCCGCAATCTACCCAACAACAGCTGGGAAACACGGGTGATATGCTCTAGTTTTACCTGCATGCCTCCATCAATGTTCCATTGAACATTGTTGGGTGGACCAATATGAAGAACAGTGCATTTTTGGACCACTCACTGATGTTCGCCAAATCCAAGTTCACTCTCGCAACAGCCTAGTTAATTGAATTGACATAATAGGATAAATGCAGCTGACAATCTTCAGCATAGGCGTGCACATTGCAGAACTGCTCGCAACTGGAAAAGTCTGCAGTGTACAGAGTGAATAAAATGGGACCCAGACAGCTCCCCTGCGGCACCCCCTGACTTTGTGAAAGGGATGTGAAACATCAGCTCCCACTCTAGTCACCTGTTCTCTTTTTTCCAAGTAGCACTGCATCCAAGAAATTGCATTATTCATAAAACCAAGATGTCTCAATTTAACAAGGAATTAACTGTGGCTTATCGAGTCAAAACGCCTGTGAGTAGTCAAGCATGGCTACAGAGCTACACCTGCCCCGATCCCTTGCCTCAGACAAGTCTGCAAACATATTTACAAATGCAGTGCAGGTACCGTAGTTTCTTCTAAACCCTGACTGTAATTTTAGAAGTATATGTTCTTTTTCTAAATGTTCTAAAATTTGTTTTATAGCTAATTTTTCCAATACTTTTGATATTGCTGGCAAGACTGATATAGACCTGAGCTCACTGAAGTAAGTAGGATTAGATTTTTTTGGCAAT